ATCAATAATCATGAAATGCATTGTTATTTTATGTACACTGAGACAATTAAAACTATGCCATACTATCAATTGTAAAATGCATGTCAATTTTAGAGATGTTAAAATGTAAAAATGCATGTCTTAGAATAAATAATATATAATGAAATATATTAATATATTTATTACTTAAGACTAGGAGGTAGGTGCTATCATTATTTTCATTTTATAGAGGAGGAAACTGGCACTTAGAGAGGTGAATTCACATTGTTGTGAAACAGATCTCAAGAAACTTTTCATCTTGCAAATCTGAATTTCTATATCCATTAAACAACAACTCATATGACTTTTAAACATCATCCAAAGTTTAACTTTGCTAGAAGGAAGCCAGCTCAGCCCACAATTTCAGGTAAGCATGACTCAACCTCCTGCTGCTTACACATCAATAACTCTCTTGACTCAGTAAACCACTTTCTGCCTCCCACCTGAGGCAGGTTCTCTTTGGTTTGGTCATTATTAGGAAAATAAATCAGGCATTCTAACTCAAATAGGAGCTACTCATCAGCTTCCTTACCTCTCCTGGTCATCCGAACTGGGTTAACTTCCCCATCATTTGTCAATTTCTTATAAGTGCTAGAAAACCTACAGAAAGGAGAGCCAATGAAGTAGCTTCAGGGGCCTAGACATTCATTATTATTCTAGTTTGTGAGCCATGTTTCAACACGTCTCATAATTATGATTTTCCACCATTCCCATTGTCTTTCCAGAGCTTCTCCCCAGATTAGCCTACATTTTCCTTCTCTGCACTGTAACACACAGTCCCTCCCTTATCAGAGCATTTCTCACACGATATTGTAGTTGCTTGTGTGTCTTTCTTCCCTATCACACTTCTAGTTCTGTAATGCAAAGGTCTGTGTCAGTCTCGTGCTGGAATGGAGCTGGATCCAGCACACGTCAATGCTATAGAACTCACTGGCTACAAGAAGGGTCCCCTGCATTGCCCTTCCCTGGCCTAAGGCAGAGTACTTTGCAGAGGATCAGTTAACTTCTGCTTTCTCTTCTGGGTGCCCACATGGCACTGAGATGTGCTGGCACTGAGGGCCGTGAGAGGAGCCAGGCTAAGATTTGCTTCCCCTGAACATCCAGCATCTAGCACCATTGCTAGCTCACGGTAGACGTTCGAAAAACATTCTGAGAATGAATGAACGAATCAGAGCAATGAGAACCCAAGTGAAGTTTCATGGAGGGAGGGTTTTTTCTTTCATTAATCTACTCACTGTAAAGGATACTTGCTCTATAGCAGGCCCTATGTTTATGTCTAAGGGGGAAGGGTACATTTATGATATAGGGGAAATACTGGGCTTAACAGGTACAGTTAGAAGGAGTTCTTAACCTCACGTAGGGCAGCGGGGGGTGAAGGGTGAGGGCATGCTTGTCAGGAAGGTGGGTGGTGGAGGAAGTAATAGCCAGATTGTAAATAAAAAGGCTAGATGGAAGGAGTGAAGGGATGGGAATGGGTGGTGAGAATTCCAGGTCAAGGGAAGTAGTTTAGGTTGTAAAGGTTCAAGGATAAGAGGAACTTTACATGGCTTCATGGAGGTGCAAGAAGCTGAATGCTGCTTAGAGCTGGGGGTCGGGGTCGGGGCAAGGTGGCTGTGGTGAGAGATGAGGCCTGAGAGGGAGGGGCTAGGTTTCAGGGGCCATGGAGTCAGCTAGGGAGTCAGGCTGCACCTGAGGATGGATGGAGAGCGACTGAAGAAGGGCTGTCAGGGCAGGGCGACATCACCAGATTTATGTTGGGAATTCACCCCTGCTGAAGACTGGATTGGAAGGGATGACAGGATAAAAACTGGGCATGCTTGGTTGAAGGTGTAATGGTGAGGATGCAGTTGTCATCGGAGCACTGAAACAGCAGGAACGGTGTCTAGTTGAGTTCATATTTTGAAACAACGTGGGACAGAACCAACCAAACCACAGAAGTGCATGTCAAATGTCATTTCATTCTACATGAGCCATTACTTTTCCTCTTTAGGCCTTTGCTGAAGACTGCTGGCCGATGTTGGATTGGCTGGGTGTGAGCGCAGAGACCTGAGAGGATCTGGTTTCAAACCTTCTTCCCTGTGAGAAGAAAGTCAGTGGAGAGAAAAGGGACTAGAGGTGACCAAATGGAGAGACAGCAGTGAGTTATCGATGGACATACGTGTATGGCACATACAGATGATGCTAAAGACAGTCTTCCCCTGGCATGAGCAGTTAGCAGCTGCTATAATTAGATCAAGCACTCCTACCCCTTTATGTAATTTGTTCCAGAATCTTGGGGTAAGAACATTTGTAATTTGCACAAATAAGTTAAATACAAATTTATCTTTGGAAGGCAAGCACATTAAAAAACCCCGCTGTTGTCTTGTACTATAAACTAAAGACAATAAAGTAGACAAAATCATCCTGGCTGTGGGACGTGCAAATGTTCACTGCACATATGTGTCAGTCACTGGCAGGGGGCTCGGGGAAAACTAGAATCTGCCACAGGGAGTGGGGTAGAGGTGGCAGAGATATTTATGCTTATCAAAGTTAGGGGGGAGGGGTCAAGAAATTTTGAGAAACAGTAAATTAAAGTCCTTTACATACATTAGTTATAAAGGCCAATAATTGTGTTATATTTTTTGCATTAGTTAAAATACAACATAATCATCATATTTGACATTTAATCACTCTGGACTCTGTGGTAGCCACTGGGATCAAGAGGCTAAAGAAACACCAACTCCCCTTACTCCCAGGAGTGCATGATTTAGTAGAGAAGACAGACACAGGAATCATTAATACCCTAACATGATTAAGTACCGTAATATTAATAAATACATGTTCAAAGAGCACAGAGAAGGATTGATTTCTAGTTGTTTCATTCTGTTTATATAGTTCTTTACGGTTGACACCATAAATTGACATTGGGCAACATCTATAATCAATCTTATAAAAGAATGTGAATACTAAAAGTTCTATAAAATCTATAATCCTCCCAGCATCCCAGGAAAGGCATCATTTCTATAAGAAGACATGACTGAGGTCTAAAAGGGTGAGATGACTTGACTCAGATACCAGTATCAGATGACCGGGGCCATCACGCAGATCAAAGGGCACTTCAAGACTAGCCTCTCCTGTGACATCACACTGTCTTTTTTTTTTTTTTTTTTAATTAAGATACAAATTTAGGTTTCACTTCAGGAACCAAATCTAGTCAACATTTTCAGGCATTGAAACCTGTAAGGAGTTTGTTCTTAAGTTCCAAAGAGTGTTCTCTAGAAAATGAGTCTCCTACTCTATAGGCACACCTTACAGATGTGCTGTGACCTAGAGGCCAGGCTTGGGAATCAGAGAAACCTGGTTCAAGCCTGGCTCAGGACTCACTGGCTGTGCCGTCTTAGGCAAGTCTCCACAGCTCTGGTCCTCAGTTCCTCAAGGGGCACGCTGGGGAAATAGATGGCATGCTAAGGTATTAAGTAAAGGCCCCGGCCTGTGGCGCTGCCCTGGCCCCATCCCTGCTTACCACCATCCTACTCCAAGTTACCATCTCTCATCTGGATTACGGCAATTATGTTTTGTTTTTTTTTTTTTTCACTTATTCTGGGCCACTTCAATCCACCAGTCTCTGCCCAGAAAGCAAAGAAGATTGTGTCACCACCAGTGAAAGATGAAAATCCCCAACATGATTTATAATGTTCTTCCCAAACTGCAGGTCATGAGCCATTAGTGGGTCACAAAAACAATTTTGTGGGTCACCACCAGCACTTTTTTAAAAAAGTGAAGTAGAACAGAAATATGAAATTGCAATGCTGATTATAAGCATTAGAATTATTTCATGAAACGTTTTTGCATTGTGGGCTTTATCAAAAAATGTTTGAAGTCCTCTGGTCTATAAAATTCTGAGTGATAGGATCCCTGCCTCCTTCTTTAGCCCATTTTCCATAATCTCCCCCCAGTTCTCTGCTCCTTGCCCACACCAGCCTTCCTTAAGTAACTCTGGCATATCACGTTCCCTTCTGCAGAGACCCTTAGCACGTGCTGTTTTCCTCTTTGCCTAATGTCATCCTCCAGGGTCTCAGCTCAGATGCCACTTCTTCAGGCAAACCTTCCCAGACTATATCCCGATCCCCCGTAGGGGTCAGGTTCTTATAGATCTTGTTAGCTTTTAATGATTCCTTTAATAGCATGCTTCCTTGGTTAATGACAAGCTTTCCCACTAGAATGTTGTCTTCGTGACCACAGGGGTCCTGTTCTTGTTTACCACTGTTAATAACCGAGCGCCCAGCTCAGGCTGGCACCTTGGCATTGAGAAGGATAAAGGAAGGAATGAATCAGCCTGTACTATTGGCTGGCCTCCTTCCTTTCTTGGTATAGGTTTTGTTTTTAACTTTTGCACCAAATAAACCACAGCAGGGCTGTACTGTCTGCCTAGGTTAGGAACTTCCTTTAATAGGATTTCTTGAGTCTCTGGGCTTCTGACGAGCTAATATGAACAAACACACACAAAAACAAAAAACAAACTGCATCAAAGTTGTGTACAAGTGCGGGCCGGTGAGCACTGCGGTAGGGAGGGGGAGGCTATCTTCATCAGATTTCAGAGGGGGTCTCAGCCCATCCGCTCCACAGAGCCACAGCCTTGCGAGCATCTCACGCCGCCCCTTTGCATCCCTGAGGACCTTGGGGCGCGCTAGAACAGGAGGCTCCTTGGCGCCCAGCCTAGGCGACCGTCCCTTCCCAGCCCCTCCGACCAGGCCGGCCCAGCTCAGACCTTCCACTCTTCGCAGCGCGCGTCCCCGCGGACTGCTGAGGGCAGGCGGCGCGGCGGCAGGTGACCTGCGGCTCCAAGCCCGGGTGCAGCCCCCGGAGCCCGGGCCCAGGGCCTCTGCAGCCATGTTCAGCAGGGGAGGGCGGGAGGGAGGCGCGGCCTCCGGACTCGGGCCCGCCCCCGCCGCAAGGGCCGCCCCGCCGGGCTCCGCCGCGGCCGCACCCGCGGGCCCACTTCCCCTCCCAGCCGCGCTCCGCGGCGTCGCTCGCTCCCGGCCCAGCGCGCCCAGCCCGCGCCGCCGCCGCCCGGTCCGCCGCGCTCGCAGAGGCCGCCATGGGCACCGCGCGCTGGCTCGTGCTGGGCAGCCTCCTCGCCCTGGCCGGGCTGCTGGAAGGCCGGCTCGTGGGCGAGGGGGAAGCCGGCTTCGGCGAGTGTGACAAGTTCTTCTACGCCGAGACCCCGCCTGCGGGGCTGGCGGCCGATTCCCACGTGAAGATCTGTCAGCGCTCCGAGGGCGCCGAGCGCTTCGCCACCCTGTACAGCACCCGGGACCGCATCCCCGTGTACTCCGCGTTCCGCGCGGCTCGCCCCGCGCCCGGCGCCGCGGAGCAGCGCTGGCTGGTGGAGCCGCAGGTAAGCCAGGTGGTGCCCGGCGGGGCCGGCGCGCCGGGGGCGGGGCCGCTGGGCTTGCCTCCAAGGGGCGCTTTGCAGCCACCGCGAGGGGCCGGGCCGGGAAACCGGCTTTCGGATCCACCCCACTGTGCCCCCGGAGTTACAGCCTGTCTTGCCCTCTGTCGAAGCTGCAATGAGAGCTTGGCGATGTGGAGCCTTCACGAGCCTCAGGGGCGGGAGGTCCCTTGTGGGAGGTGGTTCCCTCTACGTTTCGGCGCAGACATCTGCACCGTCTTATTGGTTTCCTGAATGGCGAAGAGCGTAAGACAGAGACCCACGCCGTTCAGATCCGCAGAAAGCCTAGGCTGGGCGCTCTCAGGCCTTGGCGGGCGCATGTCATCCCCATAGCATTCATTTGGGGGTGGGCAGGTGGGCATTTTCATCCCCATTTTACAGACGAGGAGATCAAGGCTCAGGGGGTTGAAGAGACTTGAGGAAGACCACCCATTTGGTAAGATAGGGCAGGCCTTTTGGCTAGAAATTCACTGTCCTTTCTACTAGAGACAGCTGCTCTTCTGCATTGCCCATTGTAGCCTGGAAATCCTTCCCTCTACACACAACGTTGAGTAAATTCGATCTGAGGTTGTGTTGAGTTAAAACAGTAAAATAAAGATAATGGATTTTTAGAAATGCAGTGGATGGTTACAGATAGTAGGGAAACATCGGTCACCTCCAACAAATGGGAAGGACAAACCAGTTTTTCCTGATTTCGTATCTATATTATCAGACCACTTGGAAATCATGTCACCTCTCATGGTGTTCTATCCCGTTTGGTGACGGGGACCAAATGCTCCAGGAGGCCCCCAGAGGCCCTGCTGAACCTGATGGCTTGCTCTTAACACATGCTGGCTCACCCCTGCTCAGCCGGTACCCCCTCTAGAACACCCTGCTAGGCTCCCCTTTAAAGCCTCCCACCCCTGCCCCTGCTACTGAGGGAGGAGCTGTCCCACAGCCGTCCCTTTTCTGATGGCCACAGCTGCTCAGGACCACACCGGTGCTCCATTCAGAGCCCACAGGTTGTAATCTCACTGAGATATTTCTAGCGCTGAGATCTTGGCCCAGGTCCAAGCAATCTGCACCTAGTTTCCTTATCTCCTCGACATCCTTCTACCTACCTCACCTGTTGACATCAGGACCTAAGAGATCAGGCATGTGAAAAACACCTGTAAATCGTACGCACTTAAGACATCTTTTAGTCTAAACTTAGTTTTACCCCAGCTGTGCCCCTAGAGCTGGCAGTATGTCCTCCGCACCTCATTTGGCATTGTGATTGTGTGCCTGTGAAGAGAACAGACGACCTGGTCCTTTCCCCTCTGTGATCTCATGGACAGCTCTGGGAGACAGAACATATGCATGAGAAAGTCCTGGGAATGCATGCTAAACAAATTTCAATTAAATTCAGAACACATTTAGTAATCACCTGCTGTATACCAGACATTTAGGATACCAAGAGAGCCGAATATAGCTCTGGAACTGAAGGGCTTCCAGGTCTGCAGGTGGAGTTTGCTGGGTGGAGAGGTGGCCCAGTATTTGATCAGAGACACTCTGTGTGGGTTCATATCCCAGTCCCTGCACTGACTAAGCTTTAAACTTGGGCAGGTTAACTTGGAAATAATTGCATAGGGTGATTGTGAGGATTCAGTGAGTTCCTGTATATAAAATTCTCAGAGAGGCACCTGACACATAAGTACTAGCTGTTGTTATGATATAAGCAAAACGCCCATAACTTAATAAAGGTAAACAAAGTCCTATTAGATTTAATCTGTCTTTGAGGTGATGGGGAAAGCCTTAGGGTAGCACCTAACCTTTTATTTGTGCCCTGCCTGGAAAGATAAGGCAGAGTTCAGAAGGGAGATAAGAAGGAAGAAGGTGTTTCAAGCAGAGGGAACATCATGAGTGAGAAATGCGTGGCAGGGTCAGGGATTAGTGCATAGAGGGTGGTTGGAACAGGTGACCTAATATAAGTGTATAGATTACAGCCTACTCAAGCGCTCAGAATGAAGGGGAATGGTGGAAGGGAGGGGTCATCGGGCTTAGGGAGGCAGAGCCATATATGCAGCTATTCAAAGAATGAGTAATGAAGGAACATGATTTGGCAGACAGAGGTGGAGGGAACCAAGTCATACAGGCGGTAGAGACCCTGGGTAGGGTCATGAAGAACAGGACTTGGGAGATTAAAGAGGATGGGGAAGAAGGGAGAAATAGTTACAAATGGCAGCTTCAGAGGTGGGATGTTCAGTGGTTCTGAAAAGTACAGGAGGCCAGAGTTCCCAGTCTGCTGGAAACCGTGACTGAGCACTGCAGGATACGTTACCCTGCAAGATGGATGGGCTCCCCTCACCCACCTCCGCAACCTCAGGTCAAGTCAGCTAGGAGCCAGAGAGTATTAGGAGGGAGGGAGGGAGGGAAGGACAGAGGGAGGGAAGAGGAGGCACAAGATGCAGGAGGCTCCAGAGGGCACTGCAGCAAACCTGACCCCTGCTGCCTGCTCCCTGAGGCCTGCCTCCCAGCCACTGCAGAAAGGTGCTGCAGGCTCAGTGTGTACTCCTGGCTGCTTCCAAGCACTTTGTAGTGCTGCGTTGTCTTGTGCCCACATCACCTTTTTATGAGGTCAGTGCCATCAAGAGATGAGTCAGGCAGGGCTGCACTGACGCTGGGATTCCCAAAGCCCAATTCAGCAGTTTTCCCGCCACCTTACAGTTACCCTTTGAAAAAAGCTGTTAAGTCGGAGATCACAGAAACTTAGTCACTCTTGTGCTTAAAATTCTAAGGTGTTGGCAGCCCAACACCTACAGGACAAAGTTCAAACTGCAAAATGCAGTTTACAAGGCCCTCCATGGCCTGGCTCCTGTCTCTAGCTCCAGCCTTGTTTCTCACCGTGCCACACCTTCTCCTTTTATATTCTAGCATTATCCAGCTGCCCAATGTTCCTCTCGTAAACTGGACTGTTTGTTCGTCTTTTTCTGCACAGGTGGATTCCCTTTGCCCCAAAGTCTTTTCTACACTTCACTTCCTACGTCACTCCATCCTTTAAGACTCTACTGAGGTGTCACCTCCTCCAGAAAGAATTCCCCACCTGAGTTAGATGCACCTCCTGATTTAGGTCCACCCCTTAGGTGCTCCTGTAATTTCTCTGTTTTTACACTTAACATATTGTTTTGCAATTACCCGTTTAGGTATCTGTCTCCCCGACTTGAGTGCTTGAGGGCTGATGACTGCATCTTACTTAACTCTTGTATTCCTAGTGCCTAGCACATAGAAAGCACTTGGTAAGTGTTGGATAAAATAATTTGACATCAGGAAGATCGATCAGGCAGCAGTGGGTGAGATAGATGTTCTGCTTGAGTTTTCTCAGTGGGGAGCTTCCTGTTTCAGAAGCTTCTCCATAGGCAGCAAACAGCTGCTGTTACAAACATGCTCCATGTGCAGAGGTGGAGCCTTCCTCTGAGGCCCCCCCCCATCAGTCCTAGCTCTGGCCTTTGGAACTATCCCAAATGATTTTAATCTCTTGTCTGCTAACAGTCCTTTAGCGTCAGGTCCCATGTCTGCTATTTGGAGGAATTTATAGGGGACCTTCTGAAGGACAGAAGGAGAAATGTAAAAGGAAACAGAAAAAACAGAGAGCTGTTGTGGGTTTTATGTGGAATGCAGTCACTTTTAAATTGAGAATGGAGAAAAGGAGAGAAAGAGATGAGAAAACATGTCCCCGTCTGGCATGATGGAGATGGTTTGGAGGGTTTCCAGGCAAGACTCCAGAAACCTGAGAACTGGATTTTGGTTTAGTGCAGGAAACCTCAAACATTTTAGTCTCTTGACTCCTCTGTATTTAACGGAAGACTTTTGAGATAAGGTACTGATGATGCCTTTGTAAAGTACCTTGGCAATTCATGCCAGAAGTCAACATATCAGCCCCTATCATTTTGCAAACATGAACAGTGGAAGAAACTGGCCTTATATTTAGTGATAACAGTGTATGGTTATTTAATCTTACAAAAACACTGTGAAGTAGACATTATCCTTTTCATTGTAGAGATGAGGAAACTGGCTCAGAGAGATTAATTGAGGTGTCTAAGGTCACAGAGCTTATTTTTGAACTCATGACTGATTGCTCCTGATCCTGTGCTCTTTTGATACACTGTGGAGGTTCTTTGACTTTACAGGGGATCTACTACATTAATGGTTTTAGGACTTTAATTCTCATCTTTTATATGAGAATCCTCATTTCTACTCAATTTCTATTTCCCAATAGCCATAGGACAAGTGCGAGCACGTATTTGGCTGCATAAATGTTGCTCAGGTGTCAGGGGCTCTAGAGTGGAGGGGATATTCTGGTTAACTGCACAAGCATTTTCCTAGAGGGCACAACAAGGTCATATTTTAGATCTTAGTAAATGCACACAAACAGTCCTCACAAGTTAGTTTCTGGAGTAAGTCCTTGATCTTTAATTTTTATCAGTGGCTTCTTGATTATGTAACCTAAAACAGGAATACTGTTTAATTTATTCTAACTTCAGCCCTCTTTTCATTGTGTCAGAACAGAAATATAGAAGACGTCATATACTTAAATTTCTTTGTAAGAAATTCAGTGAACAGGACAATTCTGATTTTTACTAGTTAAGAGACTTAATCAAGGTCCATGCTCTGCCATTTGTAAGCTATGTGACCTGGAATTCTTCCAGCCTTATTTTTTTGATCTGTTCATTAAAGGTAATAACAATGTTTACATATAGAGTGTTTGTGACAAATAAATAAGATAACACATGTAAGCATGTAGCATAGTACCTGGATTATGGTAAACTCAGTAAATATTAATATGTATACTTTATTAAGGTCTTACTCCAATAGGTGCTTGGCATGCACAAATATATACAAACACACTAATGGAATATTGATATATTAATAGGTAGATGATACCTACAATTGTATAAATCTCTCTTAAAATGTAAATCATCTATCTGTGT